ACCCTTTGCTTCACAGGCCTGAGCTCACTCCACTGAGCCACACCAGCCAGGGCAAAATCCTGGATAATTTTTTAGGGAGAAAAACAAAATATAATATTAGCTGCTTTTTCCCTGCTAAAGAAGAAAGCTTCCATGGTGTGAATTCAGGTTTATTTAAACATCATGATATTATGACTAATACACTGGGTGAAAAATCTCTCTTAATTTCTAGTTTTTCCATATAAATACTTTCCTGAAATTTATGATTGTTTTTACTTTGGCTTATAACCTTAAAAATGAAATGCTAAAAGTGTCTGTCAAATTTTGCAATTTTCCTGCTAACTGCAGTAAAAAACAGTTCCAAGAGTATAAAACAAATGTCACTTTCATCACAGCAAAGGAATATTTGACTTTCAAACAAAAAATGTATCTGAATTCGTGTTGTGGAGAAATGTGAAAGTCGGTTAAATGTTAGCAAATATGTACTGTAGACTAGAAAGAGAAAAAGTAAGAATGTAGGGACTATGATAAGACATTATCGCCAGGTGCTCAATTATGAAAAATTTAATGTGGGATTTTTGTCAAAAATAGAATACTAAAGTAACTTGCAGTTCCTGTGAAAGCTCTGAAAGGATAGTAAAAAACTGATTCTTCAATGAAAAGAACAAAGCATCTATTTTTTGCCATTGACTTTTGGTATCCAAGTACACACACACATATTCATGCTTATATTTAGACACTTGTATGTATGTGTATAATTTTTCCATGGCACTGCTTTCTTGAGGCTTAGTCAGTTATGACTAATGAAAAACAGAAAGGTCATTCATACTTTTTTTCATTTATGCCACTTACGGTAAACCTATAATATTGCTATTATTTTGATATTGTTTTGATGAAGTAATAATCTTGTTTCTGGATCTACATCAGATTCCACACCCACACCCTCAAAATCTATCAAGGCAAGCAGTCATAAAGACAAAACCAAACAACAAAAAACAGAAAGGTGCAAATAGAGGAATTAGAGAACGTTGTAAATATTTCCTTTTGAAATGCACATCAATAAAACATCTCATAGGCACATGTTCTGACTAGATACATTCAGCTCACTTATTTATTAGGACAAAAATCTGAAGTTGAATTTGTACTTGTGAAGAATGAGGACATTTTTTCCTCGTGGAAAGTAACCATGGAAAACCAGACACAAATAATACTTAGAATCAATAGAAGATGGCTTGTTCAAGTTAAAAAATTAATTGCTAAGTTGTTTAGGGCCCCTCTAAAGAAGAGAACATCTTTAAAGGATATTTTAGATTATAGGTAAAATGCCTAGCAATAATAGTAACAACAAAGCACAATAATTATTTGGCTATTTAAAAGATATGTATATGTAAATAAACGTATGTAAACATGTACTTAAAAGCCCATATTCACAAGTGTTCAAAAAGTGTGCAATGCATTTTCTCCTTTATTTTATAAAATTCCTTTTTCTGTGGTAATGGAGCTGTCTGCCTTGTAGTTTCTTGTTAAAGTATTTCTTTACTACAGTTGTGACTGCTATGTTCTTTTGTACAATTTATCAGTGTTAGTTTTTCAGTAATACATAGTAAACTTATCTAAGGCTTTTCTTCAATACATTGACTTAGATAGAATATTATAAGCAAACTGGCTAAATTTGATTTTAAAACCAATAGTTAAGCAGTTGTTCAGTTTATAATATTGAAATGTTTTAATGGTTTAATGTTTCAGAATTTTTATATTGGGTACATGACACTGTGACATTGTCTCAAATGAGAATTCTGGCTCGTGTCTTTTCCACTGAATGTGTCAATGCACACTCATAATTGTCTTACTTCCTAGTGATAGCCCATTTCTTGTTTTTATGATAAGGCTTATTTTGGAAATGTCAAGATCAAAATCATGTGTTGTAGTAAATGTGAATTTATAGCTATAATCTATTTTGTTTGTTTTTATGGAGGTAATTTTCTGTGGCTCTATATTAATTTGAAAGTAGACTTGATAAATTTAAAATGTAATCCTAAAGCAATCACTAAAATAAATAAAAAAGTTATAGCAAATAAGTCAAAAAACAACACATTATGGTACCAATAAAAGTTGGATTAATCCAAAAGAAGGCAGAAAAATAGAAATAAATGAAGAAATCATGTGACAAGTAGAATATAAATAGCAAAATGTTATATGGAAACCCAATTATATCCATACTCATTTCAAATATAAATACTTTAGTAGGAAGCATTGATAATTAGATTTTTTAAAAAGGAGGGTCCATTAAGTGCTGCACAATGGAAACGCATTTCAACTATAAAGTGCAATTAAGTTAGAAGTAAAGGGATGGAAAAAAACATATACCAACATATCAGTAATCACAAGAAAGCTGGAGTACCTCTATCAATACTGGCAAAGTAGATTTCAGAGCAAACAATATTACCAGGGATAAAGAAGGTCATTTTTGAATGAAAAGGAATTATTTGATCAAGAGAACATTACAATCCTAATTGCTCATACATCTTTTAACAGATCCTCAAAATGTATGAAGCAACCACCGATAATAAGGAGAAATGGAGAAATTCTCAATTATAGTTGGAAATTTCCACATTGCTCTCTCTGTAATTGATTGTACAAGTAGAAAATCAGTAAAGATATAAAACACATGAACAACACTATCAAGGAAGTTGGCCAACTTGGCACAAAAGTTTTACATATATTTCAGACTAAGATAATAAAGTAGAATGAATTTGTGTGCAAATTTCTAGTCTATTAAGGAAAAATGAAAATTATTCACATATAATGATTAAATCACATGCTTGAGGTAAATATAGAGCCAAAATATGTCACTATTACAATGAAACCATATTTTTCTTTGTACCTCTTTCCAAAATAACCTATGTAAGGATTTCAATATTATAGATGTACTTTTAATACTTATCTACTTTAAAATTAACTTCAACCTGTTTTCAATTCCAATGTCATTGGCTCTGCTTTTCTTGCTTGTTCATTTTGTTGATTAGGCTGACAGTGATCAGAAGGAAAAGGAGAGAAGATAATGGGGGAAAAGGGGGAAGTGTTTGTAGAGACAATTATAAAGGACACATGGACAATAACAAGGGGGAGTGGAAATGGGGGAGGGAGGTGGGGAGGGCTGGGGTGATGGGGAGAAAAGGCAGAAAACTACTTGAAAAACAATAAAAATTTAAAAAAATTAAAAAGAAAAAAGAAAATTAATTTCAAGAGTTATATAATGCATGACTTTAAAAATCTTCATTTTATAGGCCATATTTATTCTCTATGTATCAGAATGCTTCCTGTAAAAGGTGAAAGACAGGAACTGAAACAATTACTTTCAATAACTGATGGCAGGTATCTGTCTATAGCTCAAAAATGAATTTGATGGCAATTTTACATAATGCCCAATATTAATTTGACCTAACATGTCCCTGAATATGAAACAATATGAAACATGTCATGATTCTATGTTCTTCAAGAAAATAAGTAATCCCAATTAAATGGTGACATTATAAAATACAACAGCTTCTCGGATGGTAAAATGTAAAATATGTGTGTATTCTGAGGTGTTAAATGAATGTATCTAGATGCTAGCTAGGCTTGCTCTAAGATGTTCAAAGATAAATAGATGTGGCTTTTATAATCTAAACCTAAAATCATGTCTCCTTTAAAGCCTATTTTGTGTGAAGTGAATTCAGACTTATTGATTCACTTAAATAGCCATTGTGGGCTTTGGACTTGTAGAAAAATGTATAAATTTTCTCCATGAATACTTGAAAATAATATTCCCAGCTCTCTATTGGTTAAAAATACAATGACAGTAAGGGACTAAAAAAGCTTCATAAAATGGAAAAAATTATCCTTAACTCAGAAATATTTAATGTGTATACAACTGTGTTACATGTTCACCCAAATCCTTGAATGAAGAGATTTGGTTTCTGTTGATGTCTTCAGAAAGCAAGAGTTCTTTGCAAAAATACTCCAAGCAATGAGTTAATTTCAATTTTATTAGTCCAGCTGAGGCCATATTTTAACATTTGACCCAATTTGTTATTGATGTTATGCCAAAGTACTTCCATTCTTCAGGGTCCCATAGAAATTCAGACTAGTAGATATTAGGAAAAGATTTTCAAAAAAATAAGAACCTTAAAGAATTAGAAATTGTATAGTATAGAAACGTATGGTACATTAATATATATCTATTATAATATTAAAACAGTTTAGGCAGGTCAACAATGAAAAGAATCAATAAATTAAAGCACCATTAAAAATTGAGCAAAGAAACAGCCTATCTTTTTATTTTAATGAACTAGTAAAATAGTCAAAATTTGTATATTTCTAAAATTCCTAATTATCAAAATAATCAATGAAATTCAAATGTTTAAAAGTCTTTAAATTAACATTTGAAATACTCTTCTCCAAAGAACATTCTTTTCTGGTACCATTGATATATATTAATAATAAAAATACCAGTATCACATGTTGAAACAATAAGTATTTGTATGTGCTTTATGGTAAATATAAGCTGAATCTTAGATATTAGATTATTGATAATATGAAAATTGCTATTAATAAAGCAATTTCTCTTTTTACAGGTTTCATCATTACCTTATTTTACTATAAACTCCTTTACAGTACTATTTTTTTAAAAAAGATTTTATGTATTTATCTTTAGAGGGGAAGGGAAGGAGAAAGGGAGAGAAACATCAATGTATGGTTGCCTCTCATGTGTCCCCTGCTGGGAATTGGTCGGCAACCCAGGCATGTGCCCTGACTGGGAATGGAACCACAATCGTTTGGTTCACAGGCCCGTGCTCAATCCACTGAGCTACACCAGCCAGGGCTACAGTACTATTCTTTAAATCTTTTTATCTAATATACATTTTTCAATGTATGTAGCCATTATTTTCATTACGTGTGTATAATCAGTTCATTCAATTAAACGTGGATGCAGTGTGATCCTCCACTTCTGCACATTATTAACCAGATGGGCGACTTACCTTATCTTTTCTTTGTTTTTCATCCTGGTATACAGTCCAGTGTTCTCCATCATTGCTGTAAGCTAGTTTGTAGGAGCCTACAAACTGTACATGACCAAAATCTTTAGCTCCCTGTGTAATGATGCCAGTCACTTTGGTAGGAACCAGAAGATCTACCTAAAAAAGGAAAAGACATAATTTAAATACCACAATAGAGTGTATTACAAATGTGCACGTCTTTTTAACTCAGGAGATTAAGAAACACATATGTTGAAGGCAAAATTCCATTAACTGTTTACAACTTTAAACTGATGACTGAGTCAATTATTGGCTTGCAATTTTTATTTTGCCACTGGGGTAAACAGGTTAAAACTTGAACAATCATTTTGAACATTTTCAAATAAAAAGATGGTCATTTCAGTATACCAATCAATTTTCTATTAAACTAATTCATCCAACTGTGCAGTTTTGTATATCTGAGATAGTACAGAACCGGCAAGCTAACCTTTTTGAGACTGATCATTATCTTTCAGAAATTGCATTATAATTTAATTTGCTAAATTTATAGGTCAATTCATAATAATAAAAATAAAATTATTGCTGTGTACATACCAGACACAAAAATGACATTAGATGTTTCATCATCAAACATTAAATAACAAGTCAACTCCATTTCCATGAATTTTAAGCAGTTTAGTTATATGAAATAAAGTAATAGTAATCATTGTCCAAGGAAAATATTTCTGAAAACACTGAGGAGCAAGTCAAGTGTTCTTCAGAAATGAAGGATGATTACAACATGCACCCACGACTTGTGAGATCTGTACTCATGACGTATTTCTTTCCTGCAAAATATGTAATTAAAGGACAAATGTGTGCTTAAAGACCCATGGTGGTTTAGTAAGCATTAAATTCATAAAAATGTAATTGAATACAAAAGATAGGGATGATTTTTATCAAAGAAGAATACATAACATTGAACAGTTTTGTATTCTCCCATTTTATTCCTGAATTCATCCATTTTTTCTTACCTCTTATGATGCTAATTTTAAAAAAGAAAAATTTGTTTCCATGTGAACAATTTTTATAATGACCCTTGTGTTTTTACTTTTTAGTTTCTTGATCTATGACTTCCTTTCTCCTTGGACAATAGCCACCGACTTCCTCCTACTTCCTATGACTGAATGCCATGTTACATCTTTGATCTTATCATCTTTAACTGTCTTGATCCCATGTTTGACCTTGGTGGCTTTTAACCACTATGTCCTATTGTTTCTATTTCAGGTTCTCCATCCTGTGAGATGTACTTAGTCACAAATAGACAGTCATGGGTCAGATACAGGTCACGGATGAGAAGATAGCAGAGTGCTTTGAACAGAAAATATTTAGTGATGCTCATCAAATAAAGATATGATAGAAGTTTCCAATGTGTCACAGCCTAGGAACACATATATTTTTTAAAAATCACGTAAATTTTTGTCCACTTTTTGAAACATTTTTTAATTAAAGACAGGCTCAATTGGACAATGAATTAAGACAGAAAACCACCCTTAATGCTTTATTAAAATTTTTAGAAAGTTTAACAAATACTATAAAATACTGCGCTTCTGTTTTTGCCATTTTCCGAACTTATATTATGTCATCTCGAATCCTTGTGCATCCAACAGCAATGCAGGATGGAAAAATTATATCCTGGGAAGGAAACTGTGGTTGCCACTATACAAAGTGCTTTCTTGTATGTGCTTATTGAATTCACTCAACAACCCTGGAGGATAGGGCATTCTCTTTACATTAGGGATGGGAAAATAGAAGTCTAATATAACTTGATGTGTGATCCAAAGATAAATAGCGAATAAAGGAAGGACCCCCGATTCAAATGCATGTCCTTCTGATTCAAAGTTCTGCCATATATATAGATTCTCAGACAATGATTTTTCCCCATTCCCAGTGACTATTTCAGGAGTTTCTGAGGAATCTCAAAGCTTTTTCACCACATTCATCAAACATACAGCAACTGTAGGCCTTCCCCACCTCACCCCCCACACAAAGAAATCCTGGCTTTACCATACTGGGAGAGCAGCCCTGTCTTTTAGCATGAATTTCCACCCTGTTCTTCAGCTGTCTGGACTTAAAAATTTGGGTTGTTTTTGTAGTCCAAAATCCAGATCTAAAGCTCAGAGATAACTAGGCATAGCTTCTGGTTTTCAAAGTGCTCTTGATGTTGCTAACACTTAATAAATGCAAAAATCAAAACAAAACAGCAGAAACAAACAAACAAATAAAAAACTCTTACAATACTCTGAGCCACTGCTTCCCAGGGCTGTAAACACACAGGAACTCAAACTGTCCACAGGAATATAAAATGCTCCAGGGCTGTATTCTTCAATCCATACATTTCTATCAGTCATTAGCTAAGATGAGGTAATGAGGAGTCTTATAGCATTCTCCTTTTCAGCGGTATTTCTTAAAGTCAGCTGGGTTTCCTGCGGGTGGAGATGTTTTCTCCTGAAGTTGTGTGACTTGGCTCTCTCTAATAGGTATGTTTTTCTCCTGTTCTAACTGCTCCCCTTCTCCAGTTTTCTTTTCTTTTTTAATCTAGAACTGTTTTTCTTTTTTTTTCAGTTAAGTCAACTTCTTGATTTAAATAGTCAGCAATCTGTTTTAAGCTGGAATTTGTCCTAAAATTTGTTACATTAAACTTAGAATACCATGCCTCAGCAAACCTTTTTTTCAGTACATAAATAATCTGCATCCCACACTTAACATGAGGTTGCTGCAACAGAGGGTACAGAGATCTCACTCTGAGACACACTCACGGAGATGTCACCCTCATGTTCAGCATGCAGGATGATCTGAGAAAAGCCTGTTCCTCTGGACCTATGCCTACCCCTATCCCCAGACCACCCTGCGTGCTTGCAGAACTTCTGAGTCAAGATGTACTGCACACATTTCGGTCAAAATGACAAAAGGCTTTCTGCTGTTTTGGACCCTCACCTCCCAAGGTTTGGCTCAAGTAGAGCAGGTCATTTAGGGCGCTGAGCTGGCACATGGGTAGACTTTTTGGCTTGGTGCACTGTGCTTTGTACCCAGATCTGTACTAAATATGCCTTGCATGTGTTACAGTCCCTCAATAAAGGTTTTTGCTTGATTGAGAGGAAACTACTTCCTATGCATATTCTACAGACAAGAATTAACCTATGGCTAAAGATGCCCCAATGCATCATAGCAGAAAACACTAACTGCTTTTCTTGTGTTTCACTATTCAGGATAACATTACTGGTCAAGGAAACACAAGTGCCTTGGTGATAAAAACCAATTTTTACTGGGAGGGCAACTAGTTAAAATCTCCTTTGATCTTCAGCAGTGAGACTGTGAGAGGCAGCGCATCCCAGTGGAGCTGATGGTCTGGTTCCCACTCTGGCTCTGCCCTGACTGGCTGCCTGCCCTGGAGCCACTTACTTTGCCTCCCTACATCACAGTGTCTTCACCCGAAAAACGAGAATAATAGTCCTCCTAGGGTCTATGAAGATTAGATGAGTTAAAAGTGGTTAAGTGTGTAAAATAATATGTACAATATAATCAGGGCTGTACAAGAGTTTGATAACAAAGAGTAAATAAATCTGGGAAAATAATCTAATATTGGTCTTAGAGCACCTTATTAGAAGCATAATTATAGAAATAAGGAAACTGAGGGGCCAGATTTTCCTAGAAGCAACTTCTTGATTGTAGTGTATTTTGTCCACCTTCTCAGAGTATATATACAAAAATGGTCATTTCATTTTTACTTAAAGTAGAGAAAATTTGAAACAACTGAAATTGTCATTCATGGGTGAAATGCTTAATTAAAAATAATGAAATTAATTGTGTGGAATTTTGTGTATCTTCATTTGAATATTAAGATTACATTACAGTAGGGAAATGGTTCAAAAATAATATTGGAAGAGAAAATTAGATTCCAAATTATAGTGATTTTTCCTTTTAATTACAAGAGCGAAAAAAGAGAGATACATATAGAGAGAGGCATAAATGATGTATAAGAAAAATTTATTGCAGGATAATTATGTAGGAATAGAACTTTTTTGATGTAAAACCTCCTGTAATGTCTTAGCAAAGCATAAATGTTTTGAGAGTGTTTAACTTAGAAAAACAGTATAGAATAACTGAGGGCATTTGTTTGAGAAAGTTTAAGATGAGCTACATTTCAGACATCTACATACCACCCTGACAGATGGCTCCCTGAAAGGAGAGAGGGAGGATTTAGGAAAGTCCCGAGTTTCATGGAAATGTTTCTAAAGGGGTGAGGAAAATGAAGGATGATACAGACAAATTAAGTACGCAGGGAAGCTAACAAAAAGACCAAAGAGATTTATCACAGAAATATGCCACTCAGCTGCATCTGAAATGCTATAGTTTTTGCTTTTATGTTGTATCAGTTATTTTGGATTTTACAACTCCATGGTGATCTATAATATTAGATCTCCATGGAGATCTAACAAACAGGTATAACTTGAAAGCTAATATAATAATATAGTACTTAAAAATAGAATTATGGGTAAAATATTTAGACAACGTGTTTGTTTTACTAAAGAATTTTCATCTCAATATTACATAAGACAGTTGTACGTAATCTGAGCTACTTTAAGTCACGTAACTATTGTATTTGGCATTTGAACATTATTGTTCATTATCAGGTGTTGTAGATACTTTTAGTATTCATTTGCACCTATTAGTTAATGTCATCATCTTATTATAAAATATTTACCAGCCCCTGTATCTGACATGTTTTTGTAGTTCTAAGGTTATGGGTCAAAACCTTAAAATATTATGGGGGCTTGATAAACATACTTATTTCTGAATTCATCATTGCATTCCTTCATTCATAAAAAATTTAACTTGCAATAATATTTAAAAACATTTAATATAGCAATTGCTTTTTCTGCATTAAATTAAAAAAATTATGACCACTAAAACACATGCAAAAATATAACATAAAATAACCTTTCAAAGAATAGAGTGAATTTACCGTTCTTTTTCTTCTAATATTTTATTTATTTATTTTTAGAGAGAGAAAAAGGGAGGGGGAAAGAGGGGGAGAGAAACACTGCTGTACAATCAGTTGCTTCTCACATGCTAGTAATCAAGGACCTGGTTTGCAACCCAAGCATGTGCCCTGATCA